ACAGAAGATGAGGGCTTGATTGAAGAATTACCAACAGTGAGCTGCTCAATTGATTGCTTGGACAGTTGCTGTCGCGTGCCAATGATCATGAACTCTGTCTTCCCATCATTCATTTTCAATTTGCTGCATGTCATCCATCCTTGAATATCTCTGATGCAGTTCGTTATAGTCTCCGTAGTACCGTACAACTAATTACAATTGCAAATAGCATTTCACACTGTACGCACTTTACTAAATAAACAAACTACAAATCTGATTTATCATTCATTGTCCTACATTCCATAAATAAATATGCACCTATTTCAAAAAACGTTATCGATCGGAGATCTCAAATCTGAGACTGAAAGGAATTGTGGGTTGTAAGCTGTAAATTGTTTGTGGTTTTAAGAAGTAGTTCGGAAAAAGTTAATATCTTGATATACTAACTTTGAGCGATGACCTGYGCTGGCAAACTATCTGGGTAATTGTATATTGAATTTTGACGAGAAAACACTCAGTCCCCCACAATTCCAATCGGTCTCAGATTTCTGATTTCAGATATCCAACCGACAACGTTTTTTGAAATAGGTGTATATGTCTTCCTGGCAACGGCTTTGAGCGGGCAACAATTTGTTGTTGACCGGTAATAACAATACGGAAAGTAATTTTCCCAGAAATTTCCCCGGAAGTAATTTTCCAGTTTTTCAAAGTTTTTCGAAATCAAATAATCAAAAAAATCAAATAACTGCTTTTTTTTAACACTTACAAAACACTTATTTACTGGAACCTCGGGAAAGCAGTGCGTTTTGTGGTCCCTCCGGACGGCGATGTTGCCATCGGGTTCGCCTCGTGTAACATCGCCGTCTCGGGACCACAAAACACACTTTTTCCCTCGGTCCCAATCAATAAGTGTTAAATGTTAAGGTTCGAGAAAACACGTAGACCCAGCAGCTGTTTTTAAACAGTTAAAAAACAGCTTTAAAAATAGTCCTTTATCAAGAGTGAGGGCACAGTTTTTGCCTATCCGGACCGGCTATAGAACGGTAAATAGCTTATTTATTTTTTTCCCGTATTTTTTTACTTGTTTTTGTCATCGTTTTGTTTTGTTGTTTCAAGGCAAAGGATACCGGACCGCGAGCGCGGGCAGATACTGACAAAATACCGCTCGCTCAAACAGCCAATCAGAAAACACGGATACCAGACGGGAAAAAAATAATATATGTTTACAATGAAAATGGAAATTTCTAAGACTCACTAACACATTCTATATAATTTACATGGAACTTTCTAGAATCTTCTAAATTAAACTAAACATGATAATAGGCACTTCGGCCCTCATAGCAGTAATATGTAGATGTCAGCTTTTATCAGTCCTGGTTTTATCAGTCCTGGTTTTATCAGTCCTGGTTTTATC